CCTCCGAGAGGTCCTCCAGGAGGGCCCGAAGATGCTGAAATCATTGATTTTCGTTCGGTTGTTTGAACAATTTTCGTATTTGCTCTCTGTCGGCCTTCTGACGACCCAAGACGGCCCAAGAGGCCCTCAACATCGCCCCCTGAGCGCCCAAGAGGCCTCCAAGATGGACTCAGGACTCCCCAAGAGGCCCCCAAGACGGCCCCAAGAGGGCCCAAAAACGGCCCAAGAGGACTCTAAGACGCCCAAGGAAGCCTCCAAGACTGCACTGGAGCACCCCAAGAAGGCCCTAAGTCGGCCCAGAGAGGCCGCCAAGACGGCTTCCGACGGCATCAGATGGGCCAGGAGCCCACCAAGATGGCCCAAGATGACTCTAAGGTAATCTAAGACGCCTCAAAGAGAGCCCCCAGGAAGGCTCGAAGAGCTCCAAATCATGGATGTTCCTTAGGGGTTTGAAGGATTTTGGCATTTACTTCTTTTCGGCCTTCTGACGGCCCGAGACGGCCCAAGAGCCCCCAAAGATCGCCCAAGAAGCCTCCAAGATGGCCACAGAACGGCCCAAGAGGCCCCCACGACGGCCCCAAGAGAGCCCAACGACTGCCCAAGAGGCCTCCAAGACGCCCAAGACAGTTTCCAAGACTGCCCTAGAGCATTCCAAGAAGGCCCCAAGTTGGCCCAGAGAGGCCCCCAAGACGGCTTCCGACGGCGTCAGACGGGCCAGGAGCCCACCAAGACGGCCGAAGATGGCCCTAAGATGGCCCCAAAGGCCTCCAAGAGAGCCCCCAGGAAAGCCCGAAGATGCCAGAATCATTGATTTGCGTTATGTGTTTGAAGGATTTGGGCATTTGCTTCTTTTGGGCCTTCCGACGGCCCAAAGATCGCCCAAAAGGCCTCCAAGATGGCCCCAGAGCAGCCCAAGAGGCCTCCAAGACGGGCCCAAGAGGGCCCCAAGACGGCCCTGGAGCACCCCAAGAGGACCCCAAGTCAGCTTAGAGTGGCCCCCAAGACGGTTTCCGACGGCGCCAGACGGACCAGGAGCCCACCAAGATGGCCAAAGAGGCCCCCGAGAAGCCCCCGAAGGCCCCCGAGAGGCCTCCAAGAGTGCCCCCAAGATGCATCCAAGAGGCTCCCAGGAAACTCCCAGGATGCTCCAAGAGTGTCCCCAAAGGCTCCCAAGATGCCCCCTCTTCCTCCTCCTTCTCCTCCTCCTCCTCCTTCTCCTCCACCTCCGCATCCTCCACCTCCTCCTCCGTCTTCTCTTGATCTTCCCCGCCATTCTCCCCCACGTGTTCCCTGAAGGGTTTCCACAACGGCTGGGGGAGCACATGGTGCGATAGCTTGGAAGAGCGCTTGCCACAATGCTCGGCCACATGGGCGATTCTAGAAGGCAGGAGGCGGCGGTGATTCGCCGTAGGCGTCTTCGATGTCCGCCTGGCCCCTTGCCTGCGGAGGGGCGCTGGCCCGCCTTATTTGTTGCAGCTCCCTCGGGCCCTTCCCTTAGGTCGGACATGCCCCCTACAGGCGGATTTTGGACGAAAAATAAAAAATACCCATAACATACTCAACCCAAAAAATACAAAATAATCAAAAAAATCGCCCCTCATTTCTTTTTTTACTATTTTTGAATACCCCTCCTGTAGAGTGACACGCCCGATTTAACCATTCCCAGAATCTCCCCTGTGGCCTTCGGCCCCGGCCTGCCAACCCCGCGAAAAAACTGCTCCAGAGCCCCCCGGAAAGCATGAGAAGTTCGTCTCCAAGACGGCCAATGTCACCCAGCAGGCCTTCCAAAACGTTCCTGAGCGTGTTTCTTCATGGGGCATAATGGGCATTATCGCCCCCGGCCCCCCCTCCCCCCCTTCCCCTATAACGTAACGCCTCTCCCCCCCAGTGCGCTCCAGGCACTGCCGCTGTGCGCATCGGGCACACGGCGGGGGGGAGGCATTACATCATACCCCCCCCGGCCCCCTCCCCCCCCTATGATGCCCATTACCGCCGAAAATAAAGAAACGCGCTCCAAGAGGTTCCAAGGGGGTCCTGATTGTCCCCAAGATGGCCCAAAAGACCAAGAGGCCTAGAAGACGCCCAAAATGGCCCCAGCGTGGCCCACGACCGCCGCACGACGGCCCCAGAGGCCTCCAAGACGCTCCGACAAGCTTCCAAGAGGACCTCCAGAAGGCCCCAAGATGCTAAAGTCATGCATGTCGGTGAAATTCGCACATGTATCTGTTGTTCTTGTTTTTGTTTGGCGTTGGTCAAACCCAGGCGGCCCTGAGGCCTCCAAGATGGCCCCCAGACGGCCAAAGCGGTATCGAGGAGGGCCCCAAGACTGCCCACGAGGGCTTCAAGATCGCTCCATAGACCCCCAGCATTGCCTTAAGAGGGCCCCAAGAACGCCTAAGAAAACCTCAAGGCAGCCTTAAATGGCCGCGTGAAAATACCATGCGGCCCAAATAAGCCCCGAGACGACCCAAAAGGCGTCAGATGGCCCAAAGGCGCCCTAAGACGTCTCAAGAGTGAAAGCCCAAAGACGATCCCAGGCGGCCTCCAAGAAAAGACGAATGGCGTGACAAGAACCCGAATCAACCTGAGACTACCCCCAAGACAGCATTAGGGGGTCCCTCACCAATGTTCCATCAGTGGTTTCGTGATCGGCTAGGGGAGCACGCAGTCCACTAACGTAGCCTCGCCACTCGACATTTTTCACCAGGCAGGCGTTTCCGGAAGGGCGATGGCGGCGGTGATTCGCCAGAGGTGCATGTGATTCTTCATTCGTCACTTTAATTGTTGGTGAAGGGGATTGGGAAGGTTGTTGTAACGAGGATCTCTGAGGACGCCGAGGAAGAGCCAGCCAGACAACACACACAGAGCGCAGCCTGCCTGCCAAGCACACACGAGAGTCGCATCGATACCGTGCGACCAAAAGAAACTTGTGACTGGTGGCCGCCCCGAACGCGCGGGGAAAACTCTGGCTTGCCATCTAGGTGGGCCGAACCAATACGGCTATGGAGAAGAGGATGGGCGTGGCTCCAAGCGTCATGGCGACATGAGTGAAAATGGGCCTCGCCCCCCTCCTCACACGCGGCATAGAAGCCAGGGGTGGAAGGCCACCCTAGGGTCAACCCAATTGGGGTAACCCAGGGTTGGCCCTACTCAAGCCCCTAGGGTAGGTCCTATAGTCAAGGCCCTAGGGTAGCAGAGTGTAGGACTACCCAAGGCCCCAGGGCTGCCTGGGGAAAGATCAGGGTATGCGTAGGGGAAGGGCGATGGGATAGACCTAGGGTAAGCCAAGCCATAGTCTTGGGTAGACCCTACCCATGGCCCCAGGGCAGCCCAGGGTGAGGCCTACCCAAGGCACTGGGGCAGTCCAGGGTAAACATGAGGTCGCATAGCAAGGCCAGGCACGGTAGGCCTACGCCTAGGGCCAGGGGGGCAGGCCTGGGTGGAACTAGATCAGGTTGGGCGGGCGAGGCATTAAAATGTAGTACAACATCGGCGGACGGGTCGGGTCGAGCGGGCGGACCCGAATGGGCGGGTCGGGAATGGTGAGGTGGGTGGGCCCCAACGGGCGGGCGGGGTCTGGCCGGTGGAACTTTGCAAGTGCGATACATCATTGAATGGCTTCACATCTCGGGCGGACGAGTCTGATCTGGCGGGCAGACCCTCAGGGCGGGTCGTGTCGGGCGGGCCTACCGCAACGGGCGGGCCCGGTCGGGTTGGCGGGACATTCAAATATTGTGCAACATGGGACGGCCATGTTTCGGACGGCTTGGTCGGACTGGTTGGGTCGACGCTAGATGGGCGGGTCGGGTCGGGCGGGCGGACCCACATATGGGCGCGTCGGGTCGGGCGGGCGGGACACTCACGCTCAATGCATCATCGAATTGGCCCATGTCTCCGGCGGGCGGGTGGGCGGAACTTACTGGACAAGGCGGGGCGGTCGGCCAGGTCTTCACGGGCGGGTCAGCTCCTGCGGGACATGGCAGCATAATGCATCATCGTGTTGGCTCATATCTCGGGCGGGCGGGTCGTGTCGTGCGTGTGGACCCTGACGGGCGGGTCGGGTCGGGTGGAAGAACCCTAGTAGGCGGATCGGGCGGGACTGCCCCAGGCCTGCGCCAGGGCAGCGGGCAAGGTCAGGGTGTCAGGGTAAGCTTCAGGGAAAAGCATTGGAGTGGGCCTGCAGGCATATCCTAACCGTAGGGAGGCCCAAGGTCGGCCTTTCCCAAGGCCCTAGGGCAGCCTGAGGTGAGGCCGGCCCAAGGCCCTAGAGCAGTCCAGGGCAACCCTACGGTGGCCTGGGGTAGGCCTGCCCCGGGGTCTGAGTCGGCTCAGGTCGACCTAAGGTAAGCCTAGGAAGGCCGATAGAAGACCTGGCCTTCCTCAACTATGCATACGGAAAGCTTTTCTTCACCTGTGTGAGCATATACTTATATGCATAGAACGATGATAATTACAGATATCTGTATGTATACATGGGTATGTCGCACGCCGCCGTCTGATTGTCCTGTGCATCCTGCCGTTGTTGCTGCTGTACCTCCTCCTTATCCTAGTGCATGGTTCTCCCCTTCTCCTTCTCCAAGCATGTTCCGTATCCCTCATGACCTCCACGTCCTCTGTCGATCGTCCACGAATCGACATAGTGCGATGAGGAAGCGAACGGCCAGCATACATACCTTTTCTGGGTTACCCTGAGATGCGGGGCGGACGTGCGAGATTATCGACGACACATCTGAAGCGGCCCGAGCCTCCGTCGCATCATATGTGATCAGCGTCCCAGAATATGCTGAGCAAAGGCGGTTTTACAGTGGACTAAGTACACAAGAACTCCGCCGCAACAGACCCAACCATCAAATCCGCTGGGGATACCTTTTTGATCTGCAAAGTGTTGCACCCCGCAGCTGCAACAAACAAAGGATAAGCGAACAAACAATTGGCTGCAGTGTCTTAGAAATTCAGGCAGCTGGGTCGCAGCATGCCAAGCCTGCTCAGTGCGACTGCATTCAACGAAGGAAGGACTCATCAGTGCTACTATCGGAGTCCGAGGGAGCACCAACTGCAACTGCGTCTTTCGTAAGTGCCGACTCGCAGATACTGACCACCCGCCTGCATTCCTCATCGGACATTTCCTCGTCCGCATCCCAATCAACGAACATATACTCCTTCATCACATCGTAGCGTCCCAACTTCGCCAACAGGAGTGCCCGCATAATGTTCAACGACCATATGGCGTTGTGCGCGCTTGCGTTAGCTGGGTTGATATGCATGATCGGGCGCTTCACTCGAAGACTCAAGACTTCGTGAATGTCGCCATGTTCATGGAACCGCTGGCCGCGTACCCATGGTATACATATGGTCTTGATTGCGATAATTAGAACGCCGAGTGCTGGGATGCTGGCAATGAGCGCATCCAACTGGTTGCTCAACTGGAAGATCACTATTTGCGCGACCCATAACACAATGAGTCCTATCGGGCTGACTGCCATCAATGCACTCATGACTTTGTACTGCATGCTTGCATACATGTGTTCCGTGAATTCTAAATACGCAAGGGTCTCAAAGCTCCAGATCCCGCTCCGTGCAAGGCAGAATAGTTTGTAGAAGACAAGCAGCGCCGCGGTAAAGGGCAGGGCCCAAGCGAGGAGCAGCCAGACGAAATTCGCAGACAAAAATTTCAACGAAGTTGCTGGGAGCACGAGTGTACACTGTTTCAACTGGCTCGTACAATCGTCCTTGTCCTGGTAAGTCGCAAACCATTTGATCGGAGTTTCTTCCGGATCATCGATGAAATACGGATCCTTAACGCCACTGAAAAGCGCACTCTGCTCCCCGGTGAAACCCAAGAAAAACAAGGATATGAAATACTTCTGGGCTACATCCTGGACGACGTTCCCAATCGACGTGGTTGTTTGGATTTGGCCGATCAAGACCACCCACGACCCAAGCGCTGCCCATACGGCGGAGCACTCGACTACCACGAAATGGATCCACGCTGTCGGCAAGTAATGCCACCAGCTGAGGAGCTTCTTGGTCAAGCTGTTAGCTCTCTTCATCTAGACCGACGGCCGAGTACGTAGCAGGCACCTCGCAGCCCTCGAGGCTTGAGCAAAAATGGCTGCGGATAAATCCGCTGTGGTTTCTTGGTGCAGGTTTGGGCTTCGTGCACTTCGGCTGAGTGGTTTAGAGAGCCCGCTCTGTTCTCAACCCCCTTTTTCCCCTTCGGGGAGGGGTTTACCCCTCCCCCTCCCCCCTCCCCCTGGGCCTGGAGAGGGCGCCCCGCGGGTCGTTGGAGGGGTCTTTTTCGACTCCTGGGAGGGCTAAAAAACGACACCCCTCACGAGGATTCTGGCCCCGACGGGGGGAGGCAGAAAAGTGCTCGCCTCTTCTTTGAAGCCAGAATCATTGATTTTATTACGGTGTTGGCCCCATTTTGGCCTTCTGAGGGGGCAGCGCTAATTAAAGCTCCCCTCTTCTTTCAAGCCAAAATCATTGATTTTACTAAGGTTTTGGCCCCATTTTGGCCTTCGGAGGGGGCAGCGCTAATTAAAGCTCCCCTCTTCTTTGATCGATTTCCTCCAAGATGGCCCCAAGAAGCGCCCAGGAGGCACCAAGAGGCCCCAAGATGGCCCCAAGAGGCCCCCAGGAGGCCCCCAAGAGGATCCCAAACGGCCCAAAGAGGCCCCCCCGAGGCACCCAAGACGCCGAAAAGCCCATCAGGACGACCCTCTACTCGCCTGGGCGTCGTTTCTGGACGGGCAGGAGGAGGGGCCCGAACGACTCACACCAGGACGAGGGGCCCGAACAACTCACACCACGAGAAGCCCGAACGACTCACACCAGGACGAAGAGCCCGAACGACTCACACCACGAAGAGCCCGAACGACTCACACCAGGAAGAAGGGCCCGAACGACTCACACCAGGACGAGAAACCCGAACGACTCAAACCACGAGGAGCGCTTTCTCTCCCTCCTCCTCCGCCTCGTCCTTCTCCCGCTCCCACCACAAGGAGGATGTACAAGGAGGCGGGAGGAAGGAGGAACAGGGGAGATATGCGGGGGCAGGCGGAAACACGCCTGAAAAACACGACTGTCGGCATGCTTCGCTAGAGTTGCTGTTTTGAGATGGGCTGGTGGGGATACGCGAAGCGTGAAGAATAAAAAAAGCCCAGGGCACCCTGACCCGGGCGGTTTCTTGATCGCCTTCGTAGGTAAAAATGGCGCGAAGAAACCAAACGCACTGACGCCCAAGAAACCCAGGGTGCCCTTCCATTAGCAGTTGTTCGAGATTGCTACAAACTTCCACGCCGAACGCAAGCCAAAAAAGCCCAGTGCACCATGACAAAACATACGTCGTTTCTTGCTATGCGGTCCGACTGTACTCACGAGGACATGGCGGCATCACGCGACACACCATGTGAAGAAATGGCACTTACGCGTGACCTTACAGTCGCTTCCTGGCGTGGCGATTGACGCACTGGTTTTCCAGACCGCGTGTTTCGTTCAACCTTGAACGGGAATGGCTTTATCGACAGCACGGAGACTTCGATGCCGGTCGATTCCGAGCCACTTGCGGCGGTCAACCTTGAACGGTTGCTGCAAGGTCGCCGCCGCGTCGACACGACACGAACGTAGACTACGCGCAGATGGTTAGTTCCCTCCTCATGCTCCTGCTTCTGCCATGCGCTGTACGCTTCCTTTCTACAGAGAACCGCTCCTACCGTTCACTCTCCGGCTCCCCGCTCCCAGGGGGGCCCTGAGGGGTGCGCCCAAAATCGCCCACCAAAACCACGCGAGGTCGGGGCACTTAAGACCTGCCCAGCCCCGAAATCACGCCACCCCGCTCGAGGAAGCGAGGTCCCTGGGCAATGCTGACTGATCACGCGGGCCCACATTCTACATCGACCATCGCGGCGCAACTGGTCCACCGCAATGGCGGGGGGTGCCGTGGCCTAAAACATCGAAACTCTTGCAACTCTTCCGCAGCCTGCTCGGATAGCGCAGGGTGGGCGTAGGGAACGCACGCAGAACTTAAGCACTTCAATGCCCGATGGAAAAGGATATCCAGGGAGCCAAGCACGAAAGGCAAGAAGGGGGAGGGGCTCTTATCCGAACAACCTCGCTGAGGGCCGATCAGCTCGGGTTGGCATCTGGCTTAAGCTGAAGGCCAATCTTCTCAGATGGCGGTAGGCATCTATGACATCTGTACTGTATTCCAGCCCCTTGCCGCGATGGTGACCTGAGACCGGGCCTCAAATCTGCCCATCAAGGACGCCCAACCCCGGGGCCGCGCTCGAGAAAGTCGAACACATCCCCGTCGGACATACATATATACATATACAAACGTACATACACACATACATACAGGCATGCATGCCTGCCTACCTACCTACCTACCTACCTACCTACCTACCTACCTACACATGCATACATACATACACACACATACACACCTACCTACCTACCTACCTACCTACCTACCTACCTACCTACCTACCTACCTACCTACCTACCTACCTACATACATACATACATACACACACATATACATACATACATACATACATACATACATACATACATACATACATACATACATACATACATACATACATACATACATACATAGATACATACACACATACACACATACACACATACACACATACACACATACACACACATACATACATACATACATACATACATACATGCATGCATGCATGCATACATACATACATACCTACCTACCTACCTACATACATACATACATACATACATACATACACGCATACATACATAAATACGTACATACGTACGTACGTACGTACGTACGTACAAACATACATACATACATACATACATACATACATACATACATACATACATACATACATACATACATTCATACCAACAACTATATTTGTACCGACATTCACAAGACGAGTCCTGTAAGCATGCGTACTATTCCGCTTCGGGCGATCGGGAAGCACTGGCAAAATTTGAGCATGCATGGCGGCCGTGGCATTCAGTCGTCATCCGTCGAAGGCACGATGGCAGGGAGCACAGGCACGCTTTAAGCCTGGTGGCCGCGGTACGCAGCGTCTAAGAGTTGGGTCGCGAGCTCGTTTCTGTAAGTCTAGCAACCCCAACGTGTCGGGCTAGGGTAACATCGAAAACCTCGAGCCCTGGCCTGCGCCAACTCGCGCAACACCTCCAGCGCCTCCCGCGCCGCCGACACCGCGCCCTCGCAGACGCCGGCCGCCTCGGCCCTTGCGATGGCGGCCTCCAGCGCGCCGACGTCATCTTCCGCCGCCGCCGAGGCGAGGGCCTGCTCGGCGTCGTCCTCCTCCGCCTCCGGGAGTCGTTCGACCGATCCAGATCCCCACTTGCATAGCCTTGGCCCTTGGCCCCAATGGCCGACTGACCAGCCCGAGCGGGGAGATATATACTGCTCCCTTTGGGTTTCGCGGGGCCTATTCCCACGTTGGCGTTGAAGAGAGACGGGTCTTACGCGCGATGACATAGCGACCTGACGCGGTGGCTTACAAGGGCCGCCAGAGCAGCACGCTGCACTGGAAGCGAGGGACCTTAACACGCGACCTGACGCGGGTAACTTACTCGCGAACGTCCTCGCAATCGAATTCTTTTTCTTCCGTCGCTCACCTGGGAAGGTGGGCTGGTGGGGCTGAGGTACCATGTCGGGTCGGGCGAAAGGGGGGGATAGCAAAGGGGGGGTTGATAATCAGCTCATGTAGCTGATTTTCCCGGCGCCTCCCGGCGCCGGGAGCGGCCATGTATCGAGGAATTGGCCCTTCGGTGAGGCCGAAACCAGCTGCATGCAGCAAATTTCGTAACCCCCCCTTTCCCAATCCCCCCCTTTCGCCCGACCCGACCATGGCTCCGTGGGGATGGGGATAGAGCCTCAGCCTCCGCGCCGCCGCTGCCGCCGGAGAGCTCGAGGAGCGCCCGGGACGACGACAGCGTCCTGCACGCCTCTCCGGGGGGGTGCTTGATGAGGGGGCGACAAGTGGGGGGGGCGGGCGAAGGGAAAGTGCACCTCTCGTGCTCTTTTTGGGCCTCTCAAGGTGCACTTTTCTTCCCCCCCCATTTGATCGCCCCCCTCCAATCTAAAAGAATAACAAATGACATGAACATACACTTATGGCGCTCCGCGCGAATTTCTTGGATTCGCGATGGACCCCCCCCCTTGCGCGCGGAGCGCGCCAGGGGCGGCGCCGGAGGCGCCGCCGGGGGGCCCAGGCGCGGATCCAAGAAATCCGCGCGGAGCGCCAAAAGTTTATGTTAATGTGATTTTTGTTCGAGAATTACCCATCGGACAAAAGAAGTAGGTAGAAGCACGAAGTAGGGAGGTGTTGAAAATAGATCGGGTGCTCGCCCGCCCCCTACAGAGGACGGAAAAGGTGAAGCCACTCGATCATTGAAGTAGGACGGCGCTTAAAGTAGATTGGAATCAGGGGCTCCCAAAATATAGGGAACGAAGAATAAACATACCAACTCGGAGGTCCGCACGGATTTCTCGGGTCGGCGCTGGAAAGGGGCGGCGCCGGAAGCGCCGCCAGGGGATCCAGCGCCTATCCGAGAAATCCGCGCGGAACTCCGAATCTTTATATTTGTGTCATTCTTCGTGCCCCTACAATGCCTACTCTCAACAACCGATGGGTACGCTTAGGTCGGGCATGTCCCCCTACAGGCGGATTTTGCACGAAAAAACAGAAATGCCCCACACATGTTCAAACATAGTTTTTTAAACAAGTCAAAAACATCGTCTCCTAACCATGTCTGAAAATTTTCAATGCTACTCCTGTAGAGGGACACGCCCGACTTAAGGGTACGCAGCGCCCGAACCTCTTCCAGCAACTCCTCGTCCACGCCGGGCGTCGCCTCGGCCCGCGCCACCGCCGCCGCCAGGGCGCGCACGCTGCGCTCTGTGCCGACGCCCGCTTCCTCCGCCGCGTCGAGGAGGCCCTGCTCCGCCGCCTCGACGTCGCCGCGCGAGGGCCCCGATCCTAAGGGAACGGAGAATAGCATAAACATTACACCCGAGAAAACCCCAAGAACGACGTAAACATTACACCGGAATGGATGGTTTGAATGATAAGGACATCGACTGGGAACCCGGGAACCCGGAACCCACCGAAACCGGCCCGGAACCAATAACCAGGAACCCGGGACCCGGGAACCCGGAACGGGGAACCCAGGAACCCAGCCGTCCACCAAATTCGGCGGGAAACTTTCGCCTAATCTTTCAATTTCCGCTAGGACCCCTTCAGTGCAAGCACCGATTGGGGAATAACATCTCGGAGGTCCGCGCGGAATTCTCGGATCCGCGCTGGATCCCACTGGCGGCGCCTCCGGCGCCGCCCCTGGCGCGCTCCGCGCGCCAGGGAGGGGGTCCAGCACCGATCCGAGAAATCCGCGCGGACCTCCGAGTGGTTATGTTTATGTCATTCTTCGTTCCCCTAGATCCCTCGCCGAACGCACCCCCGCGCGGGGGCACGGACGCCATGTCTGGCATGTGGATCGCCGCCGTTGTTCGAGCTGGCGGGCGTGCTCTGCACCACCGCCGCACCGCAGGGCCAGGGGCGGCAAGCACGCGCTGCAACGCTGCGCTGTGCGAGGCGTCGGCCGCGCCCAGCAGCGCACTGACAGCGGTCGGCCGCCCCTGGTCTGCGGAAGGTGGTAATTCGGAAGCAACCCCTAGGAGATCATCGTAAAACCTAAGATATATTGAGCCCGATTCAAAGGCCACAATTATGGATGCCTCGGGAGTGTGCCCCAGATTGAGCCACATTAAGCGGAAGATGGTCCAAAACGGATTAGGCTGGGTTAGGCCAGTCGTCGAATTTAGCCTCCCAGGAGTTGCACTCGAACGGTGGTGAAAATCACGCACACGACCCTGCTCCTCAAGAGGACGGTCAAACAAAAGCAAGCTAAACCAGAATGGCTGCAACAACGGATCGGAATGGCTACGTGTGGGATTCCACACTGTCAATCTGGCCCATGATCATCCCAGGGCCTGTCCTGCAGCCCTCTTGACGGCCCCTTGGGCCGTCTTGAAGCCCTGGGGGCAAGCCCAAGACCTTCAAATCGTGTGCAATACCTTGTGAGCAGTTTCTCTGAACATTGCCACCTTGTCGGATCTAAGAACGACCCAAGAGTAGAGGGCAGAAAATCCACCCCGACACGCGAGGCCTTTTAGAAAACGCACCCAAAAAAAAATCGAACAGGGCCGGGTTGTTTAGTAAACGCCCAGAGCCGTTTAACAAACGCCAATTGTCGGGTCCGGGTGGTTTCTCCTCCCTTGAAAGAGGCCCCAAGGATCGCCCCAAGACGGCTCCCACGAACTGACACTTGGAACCCGGAACCCCAAAGTGAGCCGCATAGAAGCCCCTGAGGCCTGCGGGGTTTCTTGCAGTATCGTTGATGCGTCTTGGGCTGTTCTGCACCCTGCAGCTAATTAGCCTTGTTCGCAGCCCCGGACAACTGCTATCGCCGCCTGCGCTCTTCGCTCGCGGCCGCGACCGAAAAAAAATGATGCGTCTTGGGCTTGCACTGGTCCTCCTCCTCCTCCTCCTCCTTCTCTTCTCCGTTCAGTCCTCCCCCGTCCCGTCCCGCCCCGTCCCTCCCATGATCGCTCCGCACCTGCCCTTGCCCCTCCTCCTCCGCCTCCGCCTCGCCTGGCTCCGAAATGTGCCGCGTCGCGTTCAGCGCTCAGCCTCCTCGCCTCGCCCGATTCGGCTTGTGCGCCGCGTCGCCTTCGGCCCTCGGCCCCGTCGCCTCGCGTCGCCTGGCTCGGTGCCTCGCGTCGCCCGGCTCGGTGCCTCCGCCTCGGCGCCCCGCCTCGCCCGGCTCGGTGGTGCGTCGCGTCGGGTCGCACCGGGCCGCAGCTCCTTGCCTCGCTCTGGTCGGCTCGCTCTGCTCGGCTCGGAGGTGCCCCCCGTCATCTTCTTGCAGCGCCCGTGGAGGCTCGCGGGTGCAGGAGCCAACGTCGCCGGTGCTGGGCGCTGGTTCTCCGCCGTTCGTGGCGCCAGCAGGAGGGAGCAGCGGCGCAGGACAGGACTGCGTCGGAGAGAGGGGCCGCAGAATGGGGCAGGCACTTGCCTCGCATCGCCTCACATCGAGCGGCGATGCGTTACGTAGTTTCGCGGCTTGCTGGTCAACGGGGGGCTGATCCTGTACACTGACCTACCGCTGCGCCGCTGGCCCCAGGCACCCGCTGGGCGCCATGGGGCGCCCGCGTGACGCGCTGCTTTCGGCCTGTCTCTGGCACGGGACACGTGGCGGGTGCCTGCGGAAGTGTGGTGACCGGACCAAGGCGCCACAAAGCGCAGGCGCGTCTTGTCTGCAAGGAGTCTGGGGGCTTGGGCAATTTTTTTCTTTCCAGCGCACTTTTGGGAGAAGGAGGAGGAAAGCAGAGGGGACGAAGCGGACAGGACCGATATCCTCTGCTGTCAGCTCTGGATGCAAGCCCAACCGGCGTAAAAACTGTTAAAGAGTCTTCCGCCTGAGCATCACAGAAGCGGCCATTAAGGAAAAAAACGGTCTTAAGTAACATTTCCTCGGCGCGCGCTTGAGGGAAACAAATGCCGGTCTCGAGTATGATTTCGCCGAGCGAAGAGATCGACTGCGGCGCACCTGCGGATTATCCTACAGGGTCAACGCCCGAAAATAGAGGTCGTGCCAACGTCGGGCCTCAGCTAGGCCGGAGGGGCGGGGAGAGGAGGAGGAAAGGAGGAGAGGGGGAGAGAGGCGGAGGAGAAATCCAATACACCTGGAGCAGCGCGCAGGCCAGCCTGCCATAGGCGAACCGTTGCGTGCAACTGGAGAATTTGGACAATGGCAAAACTGCATAGTTACAAAACTATGAGAGGCCAAGCTCCGTGAATGACCATGCGAACTTTAAACCCCGACAAGAACGAGGAGGAGAGAAGGAGGAGGAGGAAGACAGGAGGGAGGGGGAGGAGAGTGGACAAGCCAAAGCACTCGGAAATCCCCAGCGAATGCAGCCCCAGCCGGAGCGACTCCAACAAGCTATCATGATTGCAGACGGTAGATAAGCGGCAGCGGCGGCAACGGCAAGAGAGGAGAGGAGACAAGCAGACTCAACATGATGGCGCCAAGACGCGCCCCTTTTCCGCCGCCGCGCCAAACAACAACCCTCCGCCGTGCGATAGCGGATGGGCCGGCACGCCCATGAGCCTATCGGCCACGTGGCCGGGACAGAAGCGAACAGCGGAATTCATGTCACGGACTCGGTGCGCTGCCGGATCGGCAAGTACCGCGGCAATGCACGGCCAGACTAACCAGAACACGATCCGAGGAGAGAGCGGAAGGGGGGGAGAGAGCGGGAGGAAAGAGACGAGGGGGGAAGGATATCCCAGGCGGATGCGGTACAACTTTGAACCCTGTTATCCGCTCCAAGCCAGCTTAGGCAGAGACGCTATCGGCCACGCGGCCAGGACAGCAGAGGATGCCCATACTCGCAAACACCGGCGGGAATTCAGGCCGGGTGGCGGGAAGCGTTTTCTGGTCACCTGGGACCTTGGATCCCTCGCGGCTGCGGGGTGGTCTGCGGGACCTCCACAGGAGCTAACCTACTCATGCTGCCGCAAGCGTGAAAGCCCCAACTGCGATGCAACTCGCTGGAAGCGAAAACGCCGCGAGCCTTTGGTCCAAGCCTCCTGTCATGCACGAAAAACACAACCTGACAAAGGAACGGGAGGAGGAGGAGAGAGGGGAGGAAACGAGGGGCAGAAATTAGGGCAATTATTCGCGAACGCGCACGGCTGTACTGCACGCTCCCGGGCGACGCACCGTCGACAAGGAAAGCCCCCCGCAGGGTTGTCCTGCGAACGTGGCCGAAACTCGGGCTATGGACGCCGGGGACGGGCCTCAAATCGAGGATAGGCCGGTACACCCAAAATTGAAGACGGCCTGCGAAGGCGGCAACACGCAACGAAAATGTCACGAATTACGGCCCGCGAGTGCAGAAGGAGGAGGAGGAGGAGAGGAGGAGCGGGAGGACGGCGGCCGGGGCGCCCTATCGGCGGTACGGGTGAGCAAAAACTGCCCGTCGTTGCAGCGCGCGCGCGGGTGCGCGGCGCTCGCCAGCATACGCCCGCGCGAGCGCGCTCGCCGAAGGACGCCCGCGGACCAGCTCCAGACTAGCCTGGTGGAGCGCGTCGGCCGTCATCGGGCCAGTCTGCTCAGAGTGGCGCGATTTGCAGTGCACCCTGTACACCGCGGCGGTCCGCACCGCGGAAAGCAGGACGGTGTCCGCGGGCAAGTTCGCCACCGGCCGGTCCATCAGCAGGAAAGCTGCCAGGCTGTCCGCCGCCGACGGGATCGCCAGCCGGCGCCACGCGAACGTGTGCACGACGGGGCAGTGCGCGTAGTGCTCGTTGGAGTCCTCCAGCATGCACCCGAAGATGCATCTGCGTCGCTGCTGAAACCGACGGCCGGTGCACCATCCGTTGAGCCACGCCCGCAGCAATGCGGCGCGGACGCAAGGAGGAGCCGCAGTCCGCAACCTCTCGACGACCCCCTGCGCCCGCGAAACGCGGAGACGCGGGAATAGGTTCAAAGACCACCGTTCCAGACGTCGCCGCCAGAAGCGCCCGGGCACTGCCGTCGGGAGCTCCTGCAAAATGTCCAGGCCCGTGCGTTGCCAGCGGGCTTTGCAGCGCTCCTCCCGCTCCTCCGCGTCCACTGGTGCGTCCGCGGCGCCGAGGATCCTGGTCCGCACGCGGGAGGCCCTCCATCCCAGACGTTCGAAGTGGTCGGCGGCGGCCTCCAAGTGCAGGACGGCCGCGCTCGCAAACCACTGATGCCAGACAGCCCTCCGGTACAGGAGCTCTGTCGCGGCCATGCCCTCGCGCAGGGCGCGGGCACGAGGTGCCACCTGCAGGCCTCCATGGCGACGCGCCTCGTGGACGACCACACGGAAGCGAGCGGCAAGGGAGAGGTGGTCGACGTCCGTGAGACCGCCTGCAAATCCCATCGGCCTCGGGTCGCGGAGAACCTCCGGGGACAACCACCCGCGTGGCCCAGGGAAGAGACGCGCGACAGCTTGGCGCTCGGTCGCACGCCACGTCTCGGGAGGAGGGAAGAGCTGCGCGACGAAGCCGAGGACGGACACCACGTACACGCGCGCCGCGATGAGCGTCAGCTGGAAGCCACAGCCGACTTTGCCCCAGAGGGATGCTCGGAGCAGGTACTTGGCGAACGCCTTGCGCCAGGTTGCGTCCTCGGACTCGGGGCCCAGGAAGAAGCCGAAGTACTCGGCCGAGTACGCCAGCCGCATGGCGCCCCACCGCGGCGCAATGGCGGCCACCGAGGCCCGGAGGTCCTCCAGCGCCACCTGGCGGAGCGGGATGATGACCGTCTTGCCCCAGTTCAAGCCCAGCCGGGAGATCAGCTCGTACTCGTGGAAGAGTCGCTCCAGAGTGGGAAGGTCCTGGTGGAGGCTCTGCGTGACGAGGGCCAGGTCGTCCGCGCATGCCCGTGGAACTGCTGAAGGGAGTAGGCGTTGAAGACGTCGTAGTAGGAGGTCGGCGACGATGGCGAAGAGGAGCGGGGAGAGAGGGCAGCCTTGCCGTACTCCCGCCGACAAGCCGAAGCCCGCGAATCGCTGGCCCGCGACGACGATCTGGCAGACGTTGTCCCGGTAGAGGCCCGACACGAAGCGGAGGATATGCGACGGGATGCCAATCCACGTCAGGAGCTCCAGCATGAAGCTCTGGTCGATCGACGGGAACGCCGCGCGAAAGTCGAAGAAGACGCATGCCGCGTCCTCCCGACTGAGCGCGGACATCCTCATCTCCGTGTCGATGTCGAGGACGTTGGCCAAGAGGGAGCGGCCGCCAATAAATCCACGTTGGACATCCGACACCCACTCGGAGAAGATCTCCTCCAGCCGGAAGCGCGCGGCGTTCGCCAGAATCCTGTTGTCGAAGTTCACGACGTTGATGGGCCTGACTTGGTCGGCGTCGAAAAAATGGCCGACCTCGTCGTCGTAACCCGACGCCTTCTTCGGCAGGAGGTGCAGGAGGGAGTAATTGAAGTCTGGGAGGTGGCGGCGCTGCAACTCCTCCCCCTCGGGGCCCGCCAGCCCAACGAAGGCCTCGCTGAGAGTGTCGATGGCCAGGTCCCCCAACTGCCGGTACGCCTCGGCAGGGATGCCGTCAGGGCCTGGGGAGGAGCCCCCTGAAGAGATGATGGCCTTCCGGATGTCCTCCCGGCGCACATGCCAGCGGGCCGAATCCGCGGGGGGCAGGGTCGCGGCGACGCTGGCGGGGAGGTCCTCCTCGAACCAGCGGCGGCGCAAGGCTGCGTCCGTCGGCCCAGCCTGGAAGACCTGCTGCCAATGGGCACGGAAATCCGCGGCCATCTCGTCAGGCCGCGTGTGCAAGTTGCCGCGAGCATCGCGAGTGGCCTGCACGAACTTGCCCCGGCCGGGAGATAACCGGGAAAGCAATCGGAGATTGGCCGCGCGCCTGCGCTGCCGCGCCAACTCGGTCATGCCGGCCTGCTCCTCGTGCAGGCGCGTGAGCTCGTGAGCTCGCTTGGGCAATTTGCTCGAAGCAAGCGCCCACCTGCAGGCGCTGCAGGAGGCGTGCTGCCAGCAGCCGCGGGGGCGCGAGAGCAAGTGGGCGAGGAGTGACACGCTGGACGTGGTGGAGCTGGCTAGCAAGTGCCGTTGGGTGGGCCTGGCTGCGCGGAGTTGGGTTCGGCACGCGCGCGGCGGGATTCCTGCAGAGTGCGCCGTATAGGCACGATGCCTGGGTCTCTGGGGATGACGATCGGGCCGCATCCCTGTCGCGCTGGCCTGGAGGCCTACGGGCGGAGTGCGCACGTGACGGGAGATTTCCGCGGCTAGAGAGCAAACCTATCTATCACAGCCTAAGGGTACCACCCCCCAGGTCTTCATTTGTCTTTCTCTTTATCCTGTTCCCTCTCTCCCCTCCCTACCTCTCCACCTCTTTTTCCTCCTCATTCTCCCCCTCCTCCTCCATCCCTACTCCTTGCAACTAACTCCTCCCTGTCGCACCCAGAGGCCGGTCGGAAGAGCGGGTCGGGCGCTTTGCTGGAGTTCCCCTGATCATGTATGATCCTGAAGCTTAGGATTTGCAACAGTTTCACGGATGGAGGGCAGGTCGCTTTCAACATGTGGCTCCCGCCTTCGCGCCATGCACGCTCAATTTTAGAACATGCCGCGCACATTCGCTCTGAAAGCTTGCAATGGCTTCGCGGATCGAGGGCGGGCGGTTCGTACTGTGGATGTCACCTTAGTGCCGCGCACACTCGCTTCAGAAGCTTGCACGAGCTTCACGGATGGAGGTCGGGCGGTGTTCTACACGTGGCTCTCGCCTCCGCGCCAGGCACCGTCTTCTACAGAAGATGCAAGAGCTCCACGGATGGAGGGCGGGTCGTTTTCAGAATGTGGCTCTCGCCGAGGCGCCGCGCACATTCACAAGGATTTCACGGATGGAAGGCGGTTCCTTTCCAACATGTGGATTTCGCTTCAGCGTCGCGCACATTCGCCTGAAGAGTTTGTAGCACGCTCAAGGGTTATCATGGTTAAAGTCCCAGAACTTGTGTGTTGGCACGATGTCAGAACGTCAAGGCGCAACAATCACGTTGATTCGCTGTGTCGCAGTTCCAGGAACGTTGTGGCACGATTCAGGATCGTCACGACGCAGCAGTAAGGGTGATTCGCGGCGTCGAAATCCCAGGAATGGTGTTCTGGCGCAGCACCTCATTTTCACGCGGATGTCTTCCAATGCAACACTTCCCCCATCGAGCATGAATCCTTGTAGGGACCTATGACGAGGGAACTTGGAGGGAGGGTTTATTACAATATTGACCATAATAATTGGGTTTACACTTGTCCGCCTCCTCCTTCTCCTCCTCCGCCTCCTCCTCCTCTCCTTCCCCCTACCCTCCCCTTCCATCTTGTTGTCCTCCCAGATTCCTCGCTCAGCGCTCGTGGTCGCAACGGCTGAGACGGACGTGGGGGACCAACAACAACGATGCCGCTACTCCCCGGGCCTCGCAGGGATCGCATTCCGACCAAGATTTCGAGGCGAAGGTCGCCGGGGCGACGAGGGCCTCCCAGGAGGCCCAGAAAAGGCAAGCACGAGGAAAGGGCATCGGTAGGGGCACCCTTCCCTCTTCTGAACGCGGGGGGCGCGGGCCTAGTCGTCGTCGAAACTCGCGTGCGCGGCCGCGTCGTCGAAGTGGCCGCGCCTCGCCAGCCGCCGCGGCGCAGCCAAGGCGCGGCGGCCCGCAGAGGCACCATACAAGAGCCACATCCCTCCTCCTCCTCCTCCTCCTCCTCCTCCTCCTCCTCCTCCTCCTCCTCCTCCTCCTCCTCCTCCTCCTCCTCCCCCTCCTCCTCCTCCTCCTCCTCCTCCTCCTCCTCATCCCTCCTCCTCCTCCTCCTCCTCCTCCTCCTCCTTATCCTCCTCCTCCCCCTCCTCCCTCCGTAGGCATTTTGGCTCAAGCGTATCCGTAGGCCCCCTGCTCCTGGACCTCGTCCCGCGGCGTACCCCCATCCCGGGCGGGCGTGAGTGTCTTCGGGGAGCACGGCTATTGGCTTACGGTGCATTGCGCGGGAAGGGGCCCCCCTCGGGGCTCTCCGGGAAGCGCTCAGCTGCGGCTTGGCGGGCCCGGGAGGCGGCGGATGTAACCATCGCCAGACTCCAGGCCAAGCTCGACGAGGCGCACGGCCTTGTCTCGGCGCTGGAAAAAGATGCTGAAGCGTTTTTTTGGAGGGGGATGAAGAGGGTTGGAGTGAGTTCGAGGGGGTTCGAGGGAGTTGGAAGGGAGCGGGGGGGGGGAGAGCGCTGGAAAAGGTTGGTCGGGGGTCGCAGGGGCTCCTTGAGGGTTCGAGGGGGTTGGAAGGAGGTCTGGTGGAGGCTGGCAGGCTGGAGTGGGTCGGAGGGGGCTGGAGGGTGGAGGGGAGCTGGAGGCGATGAGAGGGGGTTCGATGGGCTGGGGGTTCGAGGGGTTTGGAAGGGGCTGGAAGGCTGGAGGGGGGGGGAGGCGGCTGGAGGGGGGGAGCGGGGTGGTGGGGCTGGAGGGGGTTGGAAGGGTGGTGGAGGGCTTGGAAAGGATTGGAAGGGGTTGAAGAATGTTGGAGGGGCGCAGGGGGCTGGAGGGAGTTGGAGGGGTTTGCAGGAGGCTGCAGGGGGCTCGGGGGAGGTGGATCCGGGGGGGCTGGAGGCGGTTGGGAGGGGTGGAGAGGGTTGGATAGGGTTCGAGGGGGGTGGGTTGGAGGAAGTTGGAGGGGGTCGGAGAGGGATGGAAAAGGGGGTTGCACCAGGTTGGACGGGCTGGATGGGGGTCGGAGGGAAATGGAGGGGGCTGGACCGCTTTGGAAGGGGCTGAATGGGCTCAGAAGGGGAATGGCAGGGTTTGGACCCGGTTGGAAGGGGTGTAGGCTTGAAAATGCTTGGAGGGGGTTGGCCGGAGTTGGATAAAGTTGGATGGGGCGTGGAGGAAGATGGTGGAGGTTGGACGGGGCTGGGGGGTTGAAGGAGTTGGAGGGGGTTGGAGGGATTTGAGGGGGTTGGGGGAGTTAAAAAGATTGGAGGGGGCTGAAGGGAGGCAGAGGGGGCTGGAGGAAGTTGGAGGGAGCCAGGGGGGTGGATGAAAGGGTGGAGAAGGGGTGGATGGGGCTGGGAGGCTGGGAGGGGTGCTGGGAGGGGTGGAGGAGAAGGAGGTGTGGAGGAGGTCGAGGGAGTCGGAGGTTGAAGAGAACTGGACGAGGGGAGTGGACAGGGTTGGAGAGGGGTGGTGGATGGCGACGGAAGGTTTGGAAGAGTTGGGAAACGTGGGTGAAATTTGGAGAGAGATGGAGGGCTGGGGGGGGGGTGAGGAAATTAGAGGGGGTTGGGGGGGCTGGAAAGGCTTTAGTCGAGGATCGAAGCTCGACGGATGGACGAACCGCATCAGCGGACATCTGTTCGGGCCTTTTTTACAAGCAGGTGGATGAGGTAGTCCTCTGCCGGGCCTTGTTTTGAATGGGCCCGTTAAAAAACCTATTTACTCGCCAGTTCTATCCACTTCTACCAGCTCCACGCCGTTCTGCAGCGACCGATAACGGAAGAGTGCCCCGCGGTCGGCTAAGCGGGGGGGGGGGATCTAGCGTGGTCGGCGGCACAAGCAGGGGCCCGCTCAAGAAACATCCGGGCGCGATCGGTCGCCAAAGCGAAGTTATAGCTGACACTGACGCAATGGAGGCACTGAGCAAGGTTCGTCGCACCCGCGCGCGTGCCGCTCACGGTCTGTTAGTAAGCGGCGCGAGGCGAGACGGAGTCGCACGACTTATCTGTGGAACTGGGCGTCGACTGTACTTGTGGTTTAAGCCTGATGGCGGCGTGCCCCTAGACCCTTTCTGCTGTGGTCCTGCGGGTTGTCCCGTGCCTGTCCCGTGGGATGTCCCACGGTTGTCCAAGGGGCTGTCCACGTATTTCCCCGCGGATGTCATTGGGATTGTCTCTTGGGCCGTCCCACAATATTCCTGCGGGTGTCTCGTGGCTTCATGCACGTCCAGAAATTGATCTGACCATGTGTCGGGGCGAAAGCTGACGCAGACGCCAACGCGCACTTAAATGCATACGCGCATGCATGCATGCTAACGCCTATCACGTTTCACCCAGACGTACATTCCCGCCAGAGCTGCGATAGCCCCCCGATCAACATCCGCTTGTTCCTGGGCGGGGTGGGCAATCTGGCCCTCTTCGGCGATCAATCGGCGATCGCGGATCGATGCGCACCACCCTGGGCGCATCCCCCTGGGCGTTGTCCCCGAAAGGTGGGAGAGCGAGCGGCTGGGACTGCTCCGCTAGCCACGGTGGCTTACGGCTGTGCGGGCGGGCAGTCGGCACAGAGGCCGAGAGCGCCGTCACCGGTGAGACGGGGGCCCGGCCACCAAAGACTGCAGCAGCGGCCCGATGGAAAAGCTTTTGCTGGCGTGCACACCGCTGCCCCGGAGCACGGCGCCAGGATCGGCGCCAGGGAGCGAGCCCAAGGAACGACAGCGGGAGGAAGAGGGTCAGGACGCGGGAACTCCCCCGGAATTTCCTCAATGGCATTACGGCTCTATGCCCTGAGCTCAAACATGTTGACTTCTCTGAGAGGGGGGGGGGGGGGCATTTTTGTTTTCTGGGGGCCTCCGCTGTTTTTGGCCTCAACGGCTCACCACACGAGTACCTCACCTGCCATTAGTGGGCGAATGGCAGGAATCAAAGGAAAGCACCTGCAGGCAACCCTGCAGATGTAAAAGCAGCGCAGACCGACCCGCTCAACACTGTGCAATTGAGCGGGCGGAGAGAGCAGCCAGTGCGCTGCCGCCGCAGAGAGGTGCTGGGGCCTGGAGCGCGAGGCTACCTGGGCCGCAGCAGCACCACGAACACGAGCCACGGTAAGGGCGGACCAGCGACCACCTCCGTGCTCGGAGAACAAGAAAAACCATTCGCACGAGTGTGCCGCGAGCCTTCCCCCTGAGGCGGGGTGCCTGACACGCGTGCTGAGCGTGCACGGGAGCGCGCACACAACGAACACACTCGACGACGCAACTGGTCAGCCAGCTCGAGAGGCGGAGATGCCACCGAGCGAGAAACCTGAAAACGACCGCCCACGCAAGGACGACGAGACCTGCCGTCCCAGGAGCAGAGAGCGCCAGGACGACAGCAGGCCTCGCCCCAGATATGGGGTATGCACACAGTTGCCTCCTTCCCTGGAGACAAACGCACCTGGCCTAGAGCCAAGGAGCAGAACACTCGCAAAAGAAAACCTGAAAACGACCACCCACACAAGGACGACGACGCCTGCCGCCCCAGGTGCAGAGAGCACCAGGACAACGGCTGGCCTCGCCCCAGATGTGGGGTATGTGCACGGGTGCCTGCCCAGAGGACCAGTCGCATCGGGCCGCGCGACAACGCACACGAAGAGGCGCATGCCTGCCGAAAAGGAACCAGAGCAAGCGCGGGCAGCTAATCAATCCGAACTATCGGACCCCTCCTGGCGGTGGGTTGCGGCAGCAGGGGCTGCCGCGGCACTGGAGGATGAGCTGGGCTTGTCCAAGCCGTCTTCCGAAATTGCAACACTGGGGTAAGCTGGCTCAGAGGGAAACGTGAGCCCCTGTCCCCGCCGCACGCTGGGGCCACCACCAGCGGAACTGGTGGGATTGGAGCTCTTATCTTCATCACCAGCAACATCAGGATTCGACGCCAGAAAGGTATTGAAGCAACGCACTAAAGAGGTGCCATCCACTGTAACACCTTTGCTGGAAAGAGAGTAATGAGGGTGAAGTCCCTTGCGCAGAGCAGCCCAACCTCGACAACCAGCACGCGTGGGCTTCCTACACTCCCTACCAAGGCCTCGGACCTTGCCACCAATGGAGTGGCACTTGCACCTCAGGCATATGAAAAGAATTGACTTGTCCGAGCAGTCGAACGCAACCGTTCTGTGTCCTAGGGCATCCTGGCGTACAGCGTGCAACTTGGAATCCTGGGGGCATCTACCTGGGGGAGGGCGAGACGAACCCCTACTCCCTCGGAGGCAAACGGCGCACCTCCAGACACCTGCCCAGTATTCCCAGCGATGGCCTACTTTGCAGGGCCTATCAGGGCGCTCGGCAAGGGGAGAGGGGACCAAGGGGACATCAAGGGAGAGCTTGGGCCACAGAGGAAGCAAATTGGCCGCGAGGATGCGCTAGCCCCTGGCGGCTTCAATTAGCTTGTCCACTTTGGCTAATTCGGACGGGCCGGACGGGTGAAGCTGCGGGGCATGCTTAGCACTCGCGTCCGCATCAGCATTTCCTCTCCTCAGAAATCTGTCTCTATCTGTGATGCCATCTTCCTTGACATCCAAATGAGCTTTTACTTTAACAGTGTCCTCTACAAGTCGGCCCTCGGAATTATTGGCCTGCATTATCATACCTGGGCAAGGCCGCTTGCCAGAGTACCGCTCTGGCAATGGCAATTTGCTGCGAGCAACTATATTAGCACAGTCAGAATAAACGGCGGTCGGCATCACAAGGAACTGGGCAGCGACACAGCGAGCAACATACTCTGAGGCCTGCGGTGTTTGCGGAAGATGAGCCCATAGTGGGCCTCTAGCCTCTCCAAGGCAAGTACCATCCTCCGCATGCATGCTGACATCATAAGCTCTAGAAAGTTCTTTGATCGGGTGGGGCTGGCAGGACCCGTCAATGAAGACATGACCCCACATTTCCCCGT